TCTCTCTCTCTCTCTCTCTCTCTCTCTCTCTCTCTCTCTCTCTCTCTTTCCCTCTCAGGAAATTTACTACTATATAGAGGGAAAGGAGAGGGAAATGCAGAACATGTAACATGAGAATGATCCTTTTAGCACAATTCAAAGTGCACACTCTCATATTATTAACTATAGGGAATATGTTGTACAGCAGAACTCTAGAATTTGTCCATCTTACCATAAACTGAAAATGTGTAAATACTGAATTTAAAGTTGCAATCTAATATTATAATCACATACATGAAACTGCTTCTTAAAAAGGCTTGACTACTCCAGCACTGAAAGAACACGGGGTGTGGTAGGCTGATGGGCTACAATGAAAACCTAATGCATTTCCTTCAAAAAGAATAACTGAAACAACTTCATTGTTTTCCATTTGGAATAAGTTTATGGTCATGGGTGATGACATACTGTTCCTGGCTCCAGGGCTGCATAGTGACCAACAATAAAGAGCAATGAAATGGATGGCCACTGCCCAGGCTCATCTGGGTTTGGTTTTAAGCACTGAGCCATATCATAATGTCTAGATTTGTCCTTTAAATTAACATCCTATTATCATGTTTTCTGGCAGGAAACTGTGCAGATTGCAAATGCAGTTAGAAGTAGAATGCACCAAGAAATTAGAGCAGTAACAGTTTAGACAGTAAATACTAAATTCTGGCTTGCAGAGCCCAATGTAATTTGAATTATTTCAAGTTTAGGAGACATAGAAAGGCAGAGAGTCAATTGGCTTTTGAGAAAGAGTTTAGGTGGGAATTGTAAGAGAATAGCTGAGGAAACAATGGTGATATTCAACCACACTGTACGATTCTGTATTAGTAATAACTAATAGTGTTCTCTTAGTTTCTGATTTGATGCCATGAAGTTTGGCTGGACTTAGATTTTTGGAGGAACAAGCAATGAAAAGTTTGCAGTCATCCTAAACTATGGAACTAAAAAAAATGCTATATAGTCCAAAAGACAAAGCTAGAAAACAATAATTCTGTAAATATTTTTATATTTTGAATGGTTCTTTAAAATTTTCCTTTTGGAGTCTCTGTTTTGATGGTCCCCTAAATATGTGAAGGATTTGATTAATGATTAATCCAGCACTGCATCCAAGATATTCCAAATTTAATTTGCTAATCATTCATCATTTTGAGGGTGTCTCCAAAAGTAAATGGGAGTCACCTACCTGGTAGGCAACTTAGAGGACTGCTCTAGTTCCCTTAGCTACTTCGTAAATGAGTTTTAAGCTAATTTTAGTCAAATGAGTCAAAAATTATTTCATGTAACCCTGTGCTCAAGTCCATAAAAACATACTTTGCAAATGCATTATGGCACAAGAAAGCAGACCATTTAGAGAAAGGAAATCAATCAGAAAATCCTCCTGTGGGTAAATTCATTAAATAGTTTCACTGTGCCTTCAAGATAGATTTCAAAATCTTTAGCATGAGTTATAGAACCCTTCAGAATCTGCCTTTCACCAAACCTCTCAATTTGTTATTTCCTGCTCTTCTTGTGCCCTAGTATTTTAGTTAAAAGACTAGTAGTTTCCTAATATATTGAACTGTTTTCCTGAAACTTAGTATGAGCTATAGCCTCTGCCTTGGACAGCAATATTAAAAAAAAAAAATGCCATGTAGGTAATTTTAAATTGCCAAAGAGCCACATTTAAAAAAGTAAAACAAACTAAAAATTCAATCTTAATAACACAATTTAGATCAATGTGTCTAAGCCATTATCAGATAAAATTCTGATTGATATTAAAGTATTAATTAAATATATTTCCATTATATTTTGTATTTAGTCATTAAAATTTAATCACACTCTGTATCATAAATCTGCCTACTTGAACTATCCCTGGGCTAATAGCCACCATACTTGACATTGCAGGTATAGGAAATTGTTGCCCTCCCTTCCTTTAGGGTTCAGATCATTTCAATCTACCTAGGGATGTCCTTCCTCATTCCCATGTCTGGGGGTTCACCCATATGCCAGTACAGCACCCTAGACAGACCCTCTATCATATCATTTATCACACTGTTTTGCCTGTTCTGCAACTCTATCAGACTTGAAGATCTCTGGTTATGGGGACCAGGTCTTATCTAATTTTATATCCTAAGCATCTAGCAAATGTTTGTCAAAGAAAGTAATGAGTTTTCATTTGTGTTAAACAAAAATAGCACATAATTGTCCAAGGGAGAATTGGTTCAACAGAAAGTTCCAAATTTTCCAATGTACATACCTGAATATACTTCAGAGTTTATATACTACTATAAACTTACTATTATAGATATCCACAAAATTCTAATGTAAAAAAATGTAAATAAATAGAAAGGCCAGTGGAGTGGAGAGAAGGGAACAGGGGAACAGAACCAGGAGGGTAATGGTAAGTAGGGTAGTGAATTGGAGCCAACTATATTCCATGCATTTATAATTATGTCAAAATGGATCCCATTATGTATAGCTGTCATGAACCAATAAAAATAATGAAACAAAAGGAAAGTTCCAAATCTTCATTAAGCACTTACTACCTACAGGTCCCTCAATTTGTAAGAATCTATTTGTTTTTGTTTTTGTTTTTTTATCTGCTTCTCAAAAACAAAAACTAAAACATATTCCCAAATGAAGATTCCTACCAATATCTAGTTTATAAGAAATGATTTAAGAGAAGCCAAGTTGACATTTGCAACACTACAAGTCCTCTTTTGAAGAGAACTTATAAAGATTGTCCTAGTCAAAGAATAAACTGAGGAACTCTTCAACATGTGAGGCACAAAGAAAAGCAAGGTGGTCTCTGCTTTTAAGCTGAGGATGGAAGCCCCAATGAAGCTTCTGATTCATGTAGAACAACAACACTGTCCCATCTGTTTGGAAAGAGTCAAACTGACAAAAAGACAGCTTGTTCTCTTTCTTGCAGATTGATATGAAGGTATTAATTAATTTTTTTATTAATTTTTGTATTTAGTCTTTAAAATTCAATCACATGCTGTACATTAATTCTGCCTAATCAAACTATCCATGGATTAATAACCACCATATTTGACATTGCAGACATAGGAAATCTTTGCCCTCCCTTCCTTTAGGATTTCTTTGCTCTAATTAGGAATTGGGAGCTAAATCATCTTTGAAAGGCTTAAAATACATACATGTTTTATATATATATATATATATATATATATATATATATATGGATAGATTCTTTCTTTCTTTCTTATATTTATTTATTTATTTATTTATTTATTAGGTGTAGATGGACACAACACAATGCCTTTATTTTTATGTGGTGCTGAGAATCGAACCCAGGTCCCGCCCATGCTAGGCGAGCGCTCTACTGCTGAGCCACAGTCCCAGCCCAATTTATATATTTTTTGATGAAAATATTAATCTGGCTTTCGAATTCAGTTATGTTTTGACCAAATGAGGACATATAAGATGAAACTATTAATCTCTATCTTTAATATCCTATTTAGCGGGGGGGGGGGAATCAAGAATTTTTTAAAATACAAATTTGCAGACACTAAAATAACTATTTTCCTACATGCTTGCTTAACATGATTCTCTTTTGTAATGATTAATTGTAATGTGCCATATTAAAAGGCTTTGTAAACTATATGGCATTATATAAATGTGAGTTATTATAATTATTGAATAGGCCATTAATTAAACATAGCAATATTAGAAAAATGGAATTTTTAATTGTCATTAGTCTTTGTAAGTGTTAACTAATGATTCTCTGGCAAATCTTAATATCACAGCTCATTTGAAAGTTGGGAAAAAGGAGGAAAAGTGTTATAATTTGCACAGGGCCTTTGATTTAGTCTTTGGTAGGTTCAAAGTTAAATGGCAGCAAACACCCCAGAACTTGGGTCTAACTGTTCAATTACCTCTCGGTTCTTTCCCCTCCATGCCTGTGATTAACAAACCTCTCATTTAGCCTCTTTCCTCCAGCTGGCTTGAGTTGGACTCTATGAGTCAGCTCTTTTATTTAGGTTTTTTTCAAAATTTTGTTGATGTTAGTGGGTTTTCTTAAAGGTACCATAGAAATCCAACTTCTATGGTTTAAAATCATTTCCCTAAGCCCTGGTTAGCTCAAAAGCAAAACATGTCAAATGCTGATGTTCACTGAACTTAGCAACTAGCACAGACAGGCCTCAGGTGCAATGAGCCAAAATAGAGCCATATCTGAATGATTAGCCAGGGCTCTCTGGAGCACCGTGTTGGGAAAGACCCTAAGACTCTGTGGGGGCTTGGTGGGGCAGAGTTCCAGAATCGATTAGGAGTGTCTGCCATGGACGCGTATGGGGTGTTGACCGTCACAGAGCTTCATTATGCCATCTAAGGTCTAGGTGCATAAGCAGCAGTATGGAGCTGGGAGAAAGTCTACTTATTAGCAGATGTCAAAAAAAAGAGTACTGACCCTAAGAGACAAATGAGTTAGGGGCTGACCCATCTGAACTAAGAAATGATGACTTCCCCAGCAAATCTTCCTCTACAGCCGCCTTTAAATCTAACATGAACCCAGTCTCTTCATGGACAATCCAATCCTTGAGTCTGTCAAAAAGATGAAAACGGAAACCAAACAGCAATACCTCCCCCTTGTCCACTCAGAGAAAGAAGCAACCAGAAAGAGTGAAAAAAAAAAAAAAAACTCATCTCTAGCCAGATGAAACCAGTATCTGCCCAAATAAACCTCTACTCCCTCCATTCTTCAAAACAAAACTCAAAAACAGTAATGAACTTCCAAATGCAACTAGAATGGGAAATCTCCTGACACAGCACTTTTTTCCAATAAGTTCTGTTAAGCGCGACTGAAAACTCATTGATATTTTAAAGCCAAAAGGCTGATTATAGCCCATTTAGACAAAGCCTTAGCTTTTGTTTATTTTCTAATCTACCAAAAAGAGAAAAGGAAAAAAAAAAAGCACATAGGAAAAAAAATAGCAACCCTCTTTTAAAAAGAAAGTTAGCTCCCAGCTGCTTACAATTGCCTTCTGCCTCTGCCTCTCTCTCTGCTTGGCCCTTTCGGATTCCCGCTTCTCGTACTCTTTGCGGTGTTCTTCCCTCTTCAGCCTTTCGTGCTGATACGCCTCATAGCTGTCATACCTGGGAAACACAACTTCGTCATTAAGTCAACCACCTCCATTTGCAGGAGCAAGATAAATGGTAATTTGGGGAGGTCAGAAGGGCTTTAGATACCATCTTGTCATCTAAAGGAAGGGATATAAGGAGCCCAAGGACAAGGACACGCCTCATTACCTGGGCCGCCGGCTGTAGGGCGATCTTGAACGTGATCTCACGTATAAGGGAGAATTTCGGTGCGTGCGGTGTCTGTAGTGGCTTGACTCATAGTAGTAGCAGGACCTGGGAAAGAGGAGAAAAAGGAAAGGGACATTTGCCACTGCCACTGACCCCAAGTTTACTGGCGCTACTGAACATCCCGCAGAACACCGGGCTACATAAACTGGCTTTTCCTTCCTAGTTCCTAGTGAGATTTCCCAGTGACAGCCTGTGATCAGCTAGTCAGCTCAGGGGCCTGGGAGGGATGTGTTCTCTCTCTCTGTTTCCTTATTGATGTGAACACTGAGCACCAGGTCTGGTACGCTGTCAGCTTTATCTCGCATGGATCTCAACTATCCTGGCACAGGGTAGCTCTCCAGGTAATGGAAAAAGTTAGATGAACAAGTTTCTTACAAATTGCTCTCTCTGATCGCATTGGCTCAAGGCACTGCGCCCAGGCCTGAGAGCTGAAAGGGAACTTGGGGAGGGAGGGACACTTAACAATGTGGTTTCAGCCAAGAGGAAAGGCCGGGGGAAGGGCTGGGCTGGCTCTGGGGTTTGGATACTTCTTTGACTTCCTGAGCAGCACCTTAAGGCCCGGGTGGCTTTTGACAAGGTTTACCTTGAGGAGGATCGACTGCCTGGGGACCTTGATCTTGACCTGGAATATGGTGATCGGGAACACGACCTGTGTCGAGAAAAGGACCTTGAACGAGAGCGCATCCTTTGGGGTCTTTGAGAAAATAAGGATTTGGGTGGTGACACAGAATCTCTACATGGAGAGTTAAAAGAAGAGCAAGAAGGCGACACGTCGAACAATGAATAGGATTGCGTGCCATCCCAAGGGCAGCTCAGTTTATCACTTTCATCTTCGCTGTCATCGAACAGGCCATCCATGGCTAGTCCTGAATTTATAAACATAGGTAGTTTGGAGAATTGTTCATTACTGAAATCACTGTCCCTCAGTTCACTGGTCTTGTCTGCTTCGTCGTCAAAAACAGCTTGACTGGGATGACCGAAGTGCTTGTTCAGCTCGGCTCGGATCTCCTGGTCTTGGAGCTGTTTTCTGGTGCCGCAAGGAGAGACCTGCTTGCTGGCCTCCAGCGTCTCTCTCAGGTAGAGCTGGTCTGAGTCTGTGGAAGAACAAATCTGCCTCTGCCAGGCAGAGGAGGCATCTTTATAGTCTAGTTGTCTAGAGTCTGGGAGCTCCTGTGACACGTGAATAAGTATTTCCGTTTTGGAATTAATTGACTGGCAATAGTCATGGTCACCAAACAGGCGTGGGCTGGGCCGTTTGGCCTTCCTTTCCTCGTGTCCACTGCTGGGCACTGAGGACTTACTGAGCTGCGCGTACAACTCAGACTGCTCAGGCCCGTTTTTGGTAGAGTTATTGCCTTGGGTACCAGAAGACTCGCTGTACCGGGCCTTCTTTGATGGCGGTGGCACCACGGTCTTGCAGGAGGACTTCGGCTTTGGAGAAGCCCTGAAAGGGTTATCTTGGTTGGCTTTATGAGGAGGAGTTGTGGGTGGAGTGAGGCCTGAGGAAAAAAAAAGAAAGAAAAAAAAAGAGTAGCAATAAAGAGAGAAAAGAGACAGAGATGATGTTCTTAAATGACAAGACACGTTTCTTAAGTTTTCTGAGATTTCAGACAAGGGTTAAAACTGAGTGAAGAAGCAGGAAGCTGAATTCAGGGCAACACTTGAAAAGCAGACTCTTCCCCTAAGCCTCTGTCACCAAGAAAAGATGGATCGGCGGCGCCAGGCAGCAGCAGGAGCTGTGGATATTTTGTATTTCAAACATCGATGCTAACAAATCCTGCTTCCCAGGCAACATGAAGGTGTCACCCCCGGCCCCCACAGCTCCAGCCATCACACTGCTCATTCCTTCAAGGATACGGTACAGGCTGCCTCATGGAAATTCAAGAAATGAGACTCAGGAGCCACAGAACAGGCCTCAGTTCCATTTGTCTGCAAAGAATATTGCAAAAGAGGCATGCGCTCAGGGCTCTTCAGCCCATCAAGAAAATGTAACCTTGAAGCTGGGGAATTAAGCAATTTTGAAAATTGGAAAAAAAAAATGGAATGAAAGCAAACGTTGGTCAGGGTGGGAATGGCAGAGGCATCTTCCAAGTCAGTAAAATACGACAGACCAGACGAATGCAGGGAACCAGAGTCACTCGATGACTTGACGGCAATGATTCTTTGTCTCCACAGTTCATTAGCTTAGTAAACCATGGCTAATGTAGGTATAATACGTTCTTGTAAGCATAACTAATACATTCTGTCTAAAATATGGTTCTGCAACAGAAACCTAAGTGAATGGTAACAGTAAATATCGCTGCGCCAGTGGACCATTTTATTTAGAGCACATCAGTGAGGGCGATGAGACGGAAGGATTGAAATGAATCCGAGCTCTGGCAACTAATTAAATAAAGAAGAAATAAAGGAAGAAAGAGGAACACTCGTCAGTTGTTGCCCTTCTTCCTCTGCCACGGAAGGGTGGAAAATTCCATCCCAGGCCAAGGTAGGAGGGTCTGTGCAGTACGGTAGCTACCGCTAAGTTTCACCCCTCAGCAGATTCTCCTCCTCCCTCCACACCAAGGAAGAAGCCTTGTGAAATGGCTCCAGAGTCCAGGGGACTTTGAAGAAGGGCAGGCTGGAGTTCAAATGACTTCATGCTTACAAGGGAACATTTTAGTTTACAATACACTGTCTATTTAGAAAGATGGGTGAACGCTATTCAGCAAAAAAGAGTTTTCACCCCACTAACAAGCCTGGGGTTAGACTTGAGGCAACTGCACGTTTTTCAATGAAAAAAAAATCCTACCTTACTGGGAGGAAAAAAAAAAAAAAAAAAAAAATATATATATATATATCTCAAGAACCAAGTAGGTCACAGAAAGCCACATGAAATTTTGATATGAAGAGGAAAATGCTGCCTCACTCTCCTATTTTACACACATACAAAAAAAAAAAAAGAGGTAGGAGAACTCAATGCTTTCTCCCCCCAAATGAACCATTCTACACCCATTTTTTTGGCAAATTTGAGTAATCATGGGTAATCTTACTAAATGAGAGGATGAAGGACATCAAAATAGGAAGGAGTTTGGCCTGATTCCCATTCCAGAAAATCCTGGAAGGCCCAGGAAGGCCGTGCAGAGGGGCAGACTCTTCTCTCCATGCTGCTGGGCCTGGAAGACTTGCTTTGGCTGGCAGCTGCTCTTGAAGCCCCTCCCTGCCCTTTGCTGCCGCTGACAGGCATGAACATTCGACTGAACAGAACACCTGTGCCACTCAGGTACGCCCCCTCTGCTTCCGCTTTCTTAGAAGAGTAGTCTTCTGTTCAATCTAAGAAGTCTGATGTGGTCCCTTTCCTCTCCTCTCTCTTTTTGTAGCTCTGTATACCTGCTCTGATCCATTTCCACCTCCCACTACCTTCAACTACCAACACAACAAATTTAAAGACACTGATGTCCAGGAAAGAGATGGCAAGTTTTCAAATATTCCTCATGGGCATCTAAGATGCTTAGAAAATAATGATGCATAAGCTGTTTTTCGGAATAAATATCAGTTAAATATGCCAAATGATGGGGCCCTTAAATTGGAGGAAGTGACGTACAACTTCCAACAACCCAACTGCGTAAATCTTTTCATTGTCACTCCAAGTTAGGGTCGTTTGTACCTCTCCGATAATTTACTGCTAGGATCACTCACTTCCTACAGGAAAGAGAGGGCTGCCTTCTTGCTTATCTCCTTTTCAATGTGAACTGTATCTTCTCTCGAAATAGATCTTAAACTCTTTTAGGGATGTCTCTCGGGCTTATTTCTCACAACCTGTTTTTGCTCATTTTTATTTTTCCAGCTTCTCCTTGAACAGAAAATCTCTCATTTCAGGGGCCCAAGATTCGCTTCAGAAGCTGGCTAAACATTTTTTTTTTTTAATTTTTTATTGTTGGCTGTTCAAAACATTACATAGTTCTTGATATATCATATTTCACACTTTGATTCAAGTGGGTTATGAGCTCCCATTTTTTACCCCATATTGGCTAAACATTTTTAATGAGGAGGTGCCCAGACCACATATGGAGCACCAGGGCCCTCAAGAATCTCCATAGGACATCGCCTCATACTCCCAAACCTGTGTTTCGACGGACACTGTCGATTTATAAAAAGAAACCCTAAACTTCAGAAACACCAAATTAGGCCACTATTAGAGATGAGTTCTAAAAATATCTCAGCTATCTAGGGATTTTAAATATAGAAATTCTTTTTAGTCTTGAAAATTCGAAACCCTGTCCCAGTACCTAAGCTCATTATCGCTTAAATAACTGGTTCTCAAGTTGCTCTTGGAAGTGGCAACACTATACTTTCTTTGAGTTAAAAACAAAGCCTTTTACCTCCTCCATGTATTAAATGGCTTCTGGCGATTGAATAGGAGTTCTTTAAACACCTACTATGTGCCGAAAGATATGACTGATGCTGCTATGTCAGGGATTCCACCCTCAAGGACCCCATGGTTCATTTTAATAAAAAGACAATTCTTTCAAATTTTTAATCAGTATATTTTTCTTTCAGATATGCTTGAAATTTATGAAAATGCTCAGAGACAACCCAACATGTCCAGTGAGTGAAAATATCAGGACTGTGAATTTCTGTTAGTATCACCTGTTAAACCAAACAAGTAATATTTGCTTATTGGATGGGAGATACTTTAGGATTAGTCCCGAGGTGACCAAAGGAAAATAATTTAGATAGTTCCCTAAATTTTTTACCCTTCATTGAAAGATCTTTAACCAGAGAATATCTCAGCTCAAGATTGAGAAATAGCAAGAATGACAAGATTTCCTATCGCCAAGTGCTTAATTGAAAATCTATCTCCAGATATGGTTGAGACCCCAGGCCAAACAAAACTAAAGGGCAAAGAGTTTTTGTTTTTTTTTTTTCTTTTAACATAGCGCCAAACTTTCCAGAGCTGCTGATGGGATCCCCAACCTTGCAGTGTCCCTGAACCCAGGGAATCTCTCCAACCTCACCTCCTCTGCCCACATTTCCTTTCCCCGGGGCAGGAGGAAGGTCAGTACTCAATTCCTTAACGTCGCTACCTTTGCTCATCTTCCCGCTAATCGCTGAACTCTCAATTTCATGCCACAAGCCTAAATCAACAGTGCTAATGCCTCCCATAACCTCCGGATTATTTCCTGTGTGTTGATTTTCTGGAGAATGTGTACATTTTGGTGTTGACATTACAAGGTATATTCCATGCTCTCTCTTGAACTTAGCAGGTTTTGACAGATTTATGTGAGGACAGATGGCCATTACAGGCTGAAGGCTGACAAGAGGCAGTTCAGAGCATTGTTAACACACTTGCACAAACTCTCAGCAGTGCAGCTCTGTGCAGAATGTAATTCAGACTATAGCTTTTTTATTGCTGCCTATTTTCTTTTGTCAAAAGAGCCTGCTGTGCAGAGCAACAAATGGCTGCTATTACCCAGAATGTAATGGGTGTCAGACAAATCACGTAACACAAACAATCAAGAGGATGTAGGTCATATTTCAACAGAGCACAACCTTAGCAATATTTATGATTACTGCATTGAAATGTGCTCTATAATAAACAAGTACCTCTACATCACTCACACTTCTGCACGGCAAATCTGGGCGAAGTGGCACACACTCTTACAGTCATCATTTTAAGCAGCCCCTTTTATTAAAAAAAAAAAAAAGTCAGAGACAAGTTTAGTTTTGTTTGGTCTTTCATTGTATACTCTAAAACAATTTTCTTTGAGGACTCCTCTTTGGGGGTTGTTTGTTTAATTGCATGACTTTGATAGATGGAGCAGCTTCGATCCGTTTCTTGGGCTCCACCATCCATCCAACTTCAGCCGGACTCTTTTCTTTTTTTTTCCCCTGTTTTGCTTCAGAGTTTTATAACATTTTATAGCATCTAGTGCTAACTCTGCAACTTAGTTTTGAGTTTATTTAACAGCAGGGATTTGCTTGAGGAGCACATCAATTCAGGTATTCAAGGAAAAACAAATAAAGGATTTCTAATTTGCGTAAAATCTCACCAAGACAGGGAGACCGGATAAAGAGAATGTGACTCTTCCTTCTCATATTTTGTAGGCTTCCAGAATGTGGAGTGGGTGAGACAGCAGGGGAAGGCTGGGGACCAACATCACCCCTACAGCAGTTGCTATTCAGTTGATAAAGGACCTCGCCTGCTCTCCACACTCTCCACCCTGCACTTTCCCAGGAATCATGGGTGCTGCATGCACCCCAGGCATTAACGTATCAGCACTTGGCACAGAGGGGCTCCACACCCTGCTCTGGCAATCTGGTTGACATTAGTTAATTCTGACTGAGAAGGTGCTGACTTTACTGTTTCAAATATTTCTTGTATCACTCTTGATTATGGAGGAACAAACGGGCCTTACCATAAAGTTCTGAACATTCCTATAACATGTACCCAACTCTCCCACTTGTCCTCATGGAAGATGAAGATATGATCTGGCCCACACGCACCTTCCCACAGAGCATT